AGCCACCCCAGCGCCCTGAGAGTAAACAATTTAATAAACACAAAGGTCTTAGAATAGTGTCTGGCATATAGTATGTACTTATCGCCACCACCACCATCATCATTTTTAATGTATTTCTATCGTCTTTCAACTATATTTTAAAAATTCTGACCTCATCAGAGAGTTTCCTGGTGAGCCACAGTTTGTCCTTTGGTTAGGGCACATTCAATCCAATTTTTCATATCTTGTATCTCTGGGTATCTAGTGTAAACAGTGAGACTTGGTATAAACAACAAGGATGTGAGACTCTCAAAGACCATGAATCAACAAAGAATGACTAAATTACATTTAGTGTGTTCATGGTGGTAGCAAAGTGAATGGACACATTTTTATAAAGACTCTTATTTGAGTCTGGTTTGAAATAAAAAAGGACTTTCTTCTTAGAATCCAAGAGATGCCAAGTAACCTGCGCACCCATTTCCTAGTTTGAACGATAAAGGAAAACATCCCAGATGACGCCAAACAAATCCATAATAAATCATGGGAATCATAAAATATTGTTTCATAGCAGTATGGAAAGGCAAATTTGCAATCACCAAGGGAACCTTGAGCCTATCAGATCTTTGGGCCATATTAGGACCATTGGAATCTTTGATAGAATTTGGTTGCTACACAGAAGGATTCTTCATCCCCCTGCCTTTATGTTTTCATAATGGATTTCCTTTGGCATAACAGCCATTACATTCTTGGCCTTCTCTGACTGGAGAAGAACTAAACGTACTTAAATCTTGGAGCTCTCCTTTCTCCAGGATACTGATATGTGTTGGAAACTTACAGAAGCAGGGTGGGGAAGGTCCTACAGTAGTGTAGGGATGACTGTGATTGGTGGATAAATCTGCCCAATTGAGGAACAGTGTTAGCAAGTCTTTTTGTGCCCAGACCTCAAGGCAAATTCTCTAATTAGTTTTATCAGTAATAATAATAATAAAGCTGATGTTTTGATTTCTATTCATCTCCTGTGTCTTGTTTCTCAATAGATTTTTAACTTCAGAAGGGGTGAGAGGGATATTATTTATTGATTCTCTCATACGTCAAACAAGGAAAACAAGAAGAATAAAGATAAGCAATATTAATTAGCTTTTCTCTTTACATGTAACCAAGATATGAACCAAGACAGTCTTTAGGCAGACTGTACAAAAATGACCAGATTGACTTCCTCCTGGGAAAATCTGCCCTTATTTCTATCTTTATTCACGGTCAAACAAATAAACAAATCTAGAAACCTATGATGAAGAAAATCAGCTATTGGCAGCAACGAGGCAGAGGGAAAAGCTAGATTGAATTGATTGGAAAATGACTCTCAGGATTAGGGTGGGCCTCCTATTATTTAGAAAGGAAGTAGCAGAGTGTCACTGTCCTGGGGCAAAGGGAAAGTTTGAGCAAGACCAAGAGCACAGGTAATGTAGATGCACAGAAACTTAGATTAGAATTTTCTTAAAATAGTTGTCTTGTACGACAATCCATGCAGTGCCTAGATACATTTTTAGTGCCCCCCCACCTCCCTTAACAAATACATACCAAATTTTATTCTTGCTGAGCTAGAGAGAGCTAAGGAGTCAACTAGAGGTAGAAAGAAAGTAAAATGTGGCCTGGATGTACAGGAGATGGGATATGGATGCTGAGAACTGGAAAAGTTCGACCAGGTTTAAAACTAATGAGTATGGGGCACCTGGGTGGCTCAGTTGGTTGGGCGTCTGTGTTTGGCTGAGGTCATGATCCTGGGACCCTGGGATTGAGCCCCACATCGGGCTCCCTGCTTGTCAGGGAGCCCGCTTCTCCCTCTCCCTGCTGCTCATGCTCTCTCTCGCTATCTGTCTCTCTCTCTCAAAAAAAAAAAACAAACCCCAAAACAAAAAACTAATGAGTATGACTGAAACAGATTGACCAGAAGAGAAGACCCTGGATGTGCTAGGCAAAACCTTCCAGGAGTAGAAGGAAATGAGCACAGGAGAAATTAGAGTTCCCAAGGTGAGGAACCAAGGAGAACCCTGATGAACCACAAAGTTAATGCCAGGAAAGCTTATAGATAGTGAAGATTCTTTGGGATTCAGATGGAAGATTGGTTTTCCTAGGGGCCAAATACCAGAGTAGAATCTAAATCCAAAATTGGTGAAATACTTATTGATCAACTGCTATATGCCTATCATAGTACTGGGCACTGGTGAATGAATAGTGAGCCAATATGACCTATTCTTGCTCACATGGGGTTTACAACCCAGGGGGAAGTAGAGCCAATTAAAAAGAAAAAGTTGCAAGTGCTCCGTGGTGCAGGATGCCATGGGAACACAGAGGCCGTACCTGACCTGGGAGCTGGGAGATAGGTCAGGGAAATCTTTATGGAGAAAGTTCCATCTAAGCTGAGGCCTGAAGGACAAATCAGAGTTAGGCAATCAAGGAAGAACATTCCAAACAAAATGAGTAGCATGTGACAGGGCCTGGGGGGATGGGCAAGAAAAAATTAGGCATTCAGACACCACAAATGGGTTGACACCACACCCCAGGTACTTTTTTTGTATGTAATCACTTTGCCTGAAGTTTGAGTCTGAAGAAAAAATGAAAATGGGCCTTAGCAAGGTCATCAGGAGAGAATGTCCCTTGGTATCTGTTCCTTGGGGTGTAAGGGATGGAGCAATAAAAAATGACATTAAGGGGGGGCTCCAGGTGAGTGGAATGGGTATCGTGAGATGTTCTGTATGCTGAGGCAATGGGCAGAGGGACAGCATGCTACCAAGTCCAGAAGAAAAGAATAATACTGCATAGGAAAGTGGACCTTGTGCATAGCTAGGGGAAAAAAAAGACAATTTAGTTTTATATGTTACATTTTAATAATAGTCATTTGTAACTGCATAATGAAATTTGTGAACAAAAGTTCATTTCTAGAAGAATAATCTCTAACTGATATGCAATGCTTCAGTAGGATTTGGCCAGGTTTTAATTTTGGCTTGAATAAATAATGTAAGACTAGGCTGGGCGAGATAAAAGGAAATCTCTATACTTTCATCTCTCCATGATGGAAATAATAACTACTTTATTTCAAAACAAGTTTCCAATTAGTTTCTGTGAAATATTATTATCCTCTTTTTCCAGATACTGTAGCTCATTTTGAAACTTAATTTTGATAATATATAAACATTTTTAAAACTTACTCTACAGGAATGACAGTTATATTTGGAGAGAGGAATGCTGTTGGGCTATAACTATATTATTTGGGACTGTTCTAAATAATAGTAAAAATAATGAAAAAGAATTAGTCAAAATGTAATCTCTTTCATGGCTATTCATGGCCTGGCATGGACTTACCTTTAGGCCATTTCCTTTAAAATTGTTCAGTGGACTTTTTTTTCCTTCAAGACTAGTAATGCTTCACTTAAGGTTATAAACTCTTTTATCCCCATTTAAAGAGCTGGTATTATTTATTTATTTATTTAAAGATTTTATTTATTCATTTGACAGAGAGAGACACAGCGAGAGAGGGAACACAAGCAGGGGGAGTGGGAGAGGGAGAAGCAGGCTTCCTGCGCAGCAGGGAACCCGATGCGGGGCTCGATCCCAGGACCCTGGGATCATGACCTGAGCTGAAGGCAGATGCTTAACAACTGAGCCACCCAGGGGCCCCTGTGGTGGCTGGTATTATTTAAATAATCAATGAGCCCATTCAGTAAACACTTGAGTACTAACTATGAACCAGACATTGGGCTAGGTGCTAGAGCTTGTGTAGTGAATCATGTAGCTATGACATTTGCTTTTGAGGTACTTAGTTTAGGGGTAGCTGAGAAAGTCTGAGGACTCTTTGGGGGAGAGATCTTACAGAAATAAAGACCCACATTTTAAACATTTTTATTTATTTTTTGACAGAGAGAGAGAGACAGCGAGAGAGGGAACACAAGCAGGAGGAGTGGGAGAGGGAGAAGCAGGCTTCCCTGCTGAGCAAGGAACCCGATGTGGGGCTTGATCCCAGGACCCTGGGATCATGACCTGAGCCGAAGGCAGACGCTAAACAGCTGAGCTACCCAGGTGCCCCAAAGACCCACATTTTAATTTGTATCTTAATTCAGGACTTGGCCATTATCTATAAATCATCCCAGATGGATAAACTGAGGCACGGATTATTCAGGCTCAACCCATTAGTCATAAAGTGGTGATTTAAGTTGAAAAGTTGGTCCCCTGATGAGTTCTTCACTCCCCAGGCCAAGCTCACTTTCCTACAATTGCAGTGTTCTCTTCACTCTGTTTTTCTTCCTTCGAAGCAGAAAGACAGACTGGTGATGCTGTTTTTCAGATGAAGAAAACAAGGCAGGGGAGTTTACCCAAGGCCACTTATCACTTTTATGGAGGAGCCAGCATCACAGCTCCTACCCTTTGAGTTTCCAGGCCGTTGCCTAGCTACCAAACCTCCCTGCCTCTTCCACTGCACCACAGCCAGGCAGGCACTTAATAATCATGAAAGGGAGAGCTCGGAGTGATTCTGGGGAGTTTGTTTTCACATACCAATGAATTTTATTCTTCTTGTGGTCAGTAACCTATACCCATTTGTTTTAGACAGCATCCCTGTCTTTGGTCCACAAAGAAGCTTTCTTATCTACATTGATGATTTCTCTTTTCTCTCTTTCTCAACTGTTCTTTCTGGGGGAATTTGCTCTTTACAGGTATCACACACTTAAAAAAAAGTCTGTCTTAAAAAAACAATGTCTGGCTTCCCACAGAAGAGTCTCACTATAGCAGTTTTAAAGGATAGAATGCAGTTTGGTGAAAGTTAATTAAATTCCATCAGAAAGTAACACTTCTTCTTAAAGTGTTAGCTCCATTAATTATTTAACTGTGTTAAAAACATTTGAGCACTTATTTGTTGAAGATATTAGTGGGAATAAAAAGATAAATTTGTTTATCCTTTCAAGTATGTTTTATTGATTGCCTGACATGTGCCAAAGACCATGCTAATGCTGGGGATTCTGTAGTTTTCCTTATGTTGCAAGTAGTCCAGGTGGAGTCAGTCTGAAATGATCACACAAGTAGACAACTGCAACTTTCATATGTGCCTCAAAGGAGAAGCACATGATGCTGAGAGTGCCCGTTATGGTGGCTTTAACAGTCAGGGAAAGCTTATTAGGGAAAGTGATGCTTGAGTTGAGTTCTGATGAATAATAGAGGGAACTAGACAAATAGGAAGGAAAGAGCATTTCAGGCAGAGGAAACAACATGTTCAAAGGCCCTGTGGTGGGTGGGAACATGTGCAGTCCAGGAGCCATAAGACTAGCATGGTTGGAATGAAATAAGAGGTCAAGAGGAAGCTGGAAAGGCAGGTAGAGGCCAGACTGTACATGGTATCAGACCTGTACTATATTATCTCACGGCCTCAGTCTGATTTCAGCCAAGGCTATGATGGACAGTGCCATCAGCTCCCACCAAATTTGTGCTGACCTCATTCTAAGTGTGCCTGGGGCTTCTCTGGTCCCCAGGCCTGGGGCACTTATAGGAGACCACTGGCAGTCACATGTGAGCAGCTCACAAGTGCCAGGGAGTTAGTATCCATAGGCAACTCCCAATTATTGGTGGATGAAAGTTGACTGGTGAATGCTTCTCCCCTTTGTCTCTGGCGGACAGTTCTGAAATGCATTCCCCACGGTCCCTCAGAAGTTCCCACTGGATTAATACAGTTGCTCACAGTGATGGTCAACTTGCTCATTCATTTCCTCCCTCCCTGTTTCACTCATTTTCCCCAATCCATGACTCCTATTCCTTGGGGTCACTTCCTAAATGAAACAGTACAAGCAAGCTTTTGTATTCTGCTGCTTGTGGGGAAGCCAGATATGAGATACCATGTTAAGGAGCTTGAAATTTTGTCTTTGTCTTAAAATCAATGGAAAATGAGTGTTTTAAATAGGGTGGTGAATTAGCACTTTTGCACTTCAAAGAGATCATTTTGACTGCAGTGTGGAAAATGGATTGGAGGAAGGCAAGGGTAGGTGAGGATAGAGCAGTTCATGGGCTGTAGTAGTCTAGGCAAACATAGCTGGAGCAATAAGGATGAAGAGAAGTAGATTTGAAATATATTTAGCGTTCTAATTGACAGGACTTGGTGACAGATTGGCTACGGCAAGTGAGGGACAAGGAAATATTTGAAATGACTCCTAGGTGTCTGACTTTCTTAGCTGAATGGATGATGATGCTGTTCACTGAGTTGGGGGACTCTGGAAGGTCAGGTGTGGGGGAAGGAGTCTCAGTTAAGGTTCTTTATGAATATGAACTGGCTTAAACAAAAGGAGAATTAGTTGACTAACAGAAATGAGAAAAAAAAAAAAACGGCTAAACTGGCTTTAGGCATGACTTGTTTAGGAGCCAAACAATGTGATAAGGATCAGTCTCTCAGCTCTACTTCTCTTGGGTACCTTTGGCTGCTTAGGGAAGCAAAATGACCACATTCTCAGACCACCGGGTATAGGAAGAGGGCTTTTGTCTCCAGGAACCCAGCTAAGGCATCATAGTGACTCATTTGCTCTGATTGGATTACATGCCCACAGGCCAATAGATACCCTGCTCAGGGGGATGGGATATGTGGATTGGTTTAGGTTAATTGCTGCTTACCCCTGGTTGTGGATGGGGTCATTATCATGGAGACTAGATTGGCCAAGAGTGGGAGAGGTGAAGTCCTTGAAGGAAATCTGGATGTTGCTGCTGTAGGAAGGGGAAAATGGGTGCTGAGGTGACCAAAAGTTCTCATTCTCAGGGAGAAAGTTCCTGAGTTTTGTTCTGAACAAGTGTTTGAGTTTCCTTTAAGACCTTCAGAAGACAGTGGATGGCAAGGACCTGAAAAATTAACTAGGAGAGGAATACCTACTGAGAGAAGAAGAGGACCAAGGACCAAGTGTTAAAGGATTCCAACACTGAGCTGGAATTCTAGGTAAAGGGGAATTGATCTGAAAATAGGAGAAGGAATAAACAAAGAAGTAGGAAGAAATCTTGGAGGACTGACTCATTGAATAAACAATAAATGTGACACATAATAGCTGCCTCCTTGGAATTCACAGTCCAGTAACCAGACTTGAGTTCAAAACCGATGGTGATATAGAGAGAACTTCGATTTCCACCAAGTTAACTGTTGTGTTAGAGGCACGAATCCCTGGCACATCCAGTGGGAACACAGAGAAGAGAGCAGCTAATCATTCTTGGTGGGGAAAGGGATCATGTGAGAAGAGTCTTGAAAGATGAATAAGATTTTGCCATTTGGAGAAGAAAAAAAGCTCAGGTCCAAGTTCCATCTTACATAAAGGAGTCAGGAAGGAATCAGAACTAAGGGATGGCAACCTAAACTATGAGAACTTCAGGAAATAAGCAAGGACCAAGTAAGGGTATGTTGGCTAAGGAAGAAAAGCTGGAGGTATCATATAGGTCATGTTTATGGATGGCTGTTTATCTTAGGGCTTGACTGTATCACTCCATCACTTCAAAAACCAACTTGACTGGCCTTTATCCTAGATTGGCCACTTGGTTGGCATATCATGTTGGTTTTTTTGTTTGGCATTAGAAGGACTCTAAATCTAAAAGGTTTTTATGGTGGGTATTGACTAGTTGCTTTCTGTTACTTCTAAAGTGAGGACAGGAATAAATGATTACATTTCTGCAAAGGCAATTTAAGTTAGACATTAGGAAGTGTTTTCTTATCAGTGACATTTATTTTACTTGTCTGCATCAGCCTTACAATTTATAGACTTAGTCAGACAATGATAATAACAGCCAAAGAAAGAAGGCTGTACAATAAACAAGCAAGCAAACAAACAAAAAATGAGTAAGCAAAATTGTTAAGTTTATTGGGGATGGGAGTGTTAAGGAAATTATATCTGGAGCAATCACCATAACATTTCCAACTAGCTAAGGACATGTTTCTGAAGGAATTATGATTTAGGGATCTGATTAGCTAGAAGGGTTTAGGGCACTCTTTCCAGGCATTCCAGGCAGGGGGTAGCTGTAATAGGCACATTAATGGCCCCTCAAAGATGTCCATGTCCTCATTCCTACAACCTGTGAATATATTTCATGACATGGCAGGGAAGAATTTAGTTTGCAGATGAAATTAAGGTTGTTAATCAGCTGAGTTTAAGATACAGAGGTTTTCTGGATTATCCTGGTGGGTCTCATTTTAAAGCATAAGGGTTCTTTAAAGTAGAGGAAGGCAGAAGAGGAAGTCAGAGAAAGCTCTGAAGATGCTATGCTGCTGGTTTTGAAGATGGAGGTAGGGGCTATGAACCAAGGAATGCGGGCAGCCTCTAGAAGCTGGAAAAGGGAAGGAAGCAGATTCTCCCCTAGAGCCTCCAAAAAAGAGGTTTCCAGCTTTGTTGGCACCTTGATTGTAGCCCACAAAAAGTTATTTTGGATTTCTGACCTGTAGATCTGTAAGATAGTAAGTTTGTGGGTTGTTTTTTTTTTTTTTTTTTTTTTAATTTTTGGTTTTTAAAACTTTTTATTTGCATTTGAAAAAAATTGTGCATTCCAGTAATTAAAATCATTTTAACAAAAAAGTGGCACTCTGATTAAACCTGCATTTTATAGCCTGCAGGGCACCTTGGGCTAGCTTTTTTTTTACTCTAGATTTCACTGTTGTCCTACCTTGCTTCTTCCTTCACCAAAATTCAATTTCTTTTCCTTCCCTGCCAGCCAGGCCAGCAGATGGGGTAGGCGGGAGCAGCCCTCGTTGTCAGTAGTTCTTTGATGTGAAAAGGGGCAGCGCCGTCATTTAAACTTGGTCCAACCTCTTTGCATCTTATAAAGTTAAACAGCTAAAAGAAGTAAAATAAGGCAATGCTTGTGGAATGCACAGTGCATAGTGGTGGTGCGTGCCTCATTACAATTACCTGCTTGCTTCTCCTGTTCAATCATTTCTTTTGAAGGCAGTGGATTTTTGTCTTCCATTTCTGTCTTCTTCAGTCTTGATTTATCAAATTTCTCAATCTTAGCCATATTGGGTTTTTCAGACATGGATGCAGAGGAAGTGGAGCGAGGCGCCTGAGCTAGCGAAGTCTGGTCTGTTCAGTGGCCGCCGAGTCTGTTTGTGTTGTTTTAAGTCAGGTGGCTGAGATGGTCTAATGGATGAGAGACATAGAGTCAGTTTGCTTCTGGGATAGACTGAAGCTAGTTGGAAATAGGGGAGGCCATGGACTCAAGATGTTATTATTATCTCTTGTTAATTTTTAAAACCTTTTATTTTGGGATAATATTTTGGGACTTTTAGAAAAGTTGCAAAAATAGTGCAAAAAATTCTTAAATATATTTTTTTAAGATTTTATTTATTTATTTGAGAGAGAGCACATGAGAGGAGGGAGGGTCAGAGGGAGAAGCAGGCTCCCCGCCAAGCAGGGAGCCCGATGCGGGACTCGATCCAGGGACTCCAGGATCATGACCTGAGCCGAAGGCAGTCGCTTAACCAACTGAGCCACCCAGGCACCCAGTGCAAAAAATTCTTACCCTTTACATAAGTTACCTAAATGATAACATTGTAACATACTCGCTTTATCATTTTCTCTTTCTACATAAATACATAAATAAAACATATACTACATAAATATAATAAGTATTCTCTAATATTTCACTCTCTGTGTGTTTATATATTATATATATATATATATATATATTTTGAACTGTTTGAGAGTAAATTAAAGATATGGTGTCTCCCTTTTCCCCAAATACTTCATTGTGTGAGTCTTGAAAAACATAACCATCGTACAGTGATCAAAATCAAGAAATTAAAAATGACACAACACTATTAGCCAATCTAAGAGCTTACTTAAATGTTGCCATTTGCCCCATTAATGTCCTTCACAGCAAAGAGAATATTTTTTTCAGATCCAGGATCTGACCCAGGATCAGATGTTGCATTTGGATCCCATATCATTTGTCTCCTGTCATCTGGAGCAATAATTCAGTCGGTCTCTCTGTTTCATGATTTCCACATTTTTAAAGAGTATAAGCCAGTCATTTTGTAGATTCTCCCTCAGTATGGATTTATGTAATGCTCTTGTGTGATTAAGATTCAGGTTATGCATTTTTGGCATGAGTACTCAGTAATGGTACCATATCCTTCTCTGTGCATCATATCAGGAGGTACTTGCTTAAGATAATGTTTGCCAGGTTACTTCACTGTAAAGTTACTATCATTCTCCTTATATTTAATAAGTATCTTGTGGGGAGATATTTGAGACAATACAAATATCTTGTTTCTCATAATACTTTCACTCACCAATTTTAGCATCCATGATTCTTGTCTAAAACATGTAATTCTATGGTGGCTGCCATTTAGAGTTTCCAGTTATTTAAAATTTAAATCTATGTCTTTAAGAGGTGGGGATTTTTAAAACATAACCCCAATACCTTCATCTCATCTAAAAGCAAATTAATAGTAATTCCTTAATTACAAATTTTAAAGGCTTTTATTTTGAGATAATTTTAGACATACAGAAGAATTTCAAAAGCAGTATAGAGGGTTACTGTATACCAGTGATTTTCTGTTAAATCTATAGATCATATTGGGAAGAACTGGCAATTTAATAATACTGTGTCTTCCATCTATGAATGTGATTATTTGGATCTTCCTTTTTTTTTTTTTTTTCTTTAGTGTTTTGTAGTTTTCACTGTACGGATCTTGCATATATTCTATTCTACATATAGCATGAATGACATATATGAAACTAAATTTCATTTTTGGAGGGCTATTATAAATGGTGTTTAAAAAAACTTTGAATTCTAATTTGTCATTGCCAGTATGCAGAATTGACTTTGTATCATGCAAAGGTGCCCAACACAAATACTAGTTCTAGGAGGTATTTTTGGTGTATATTTTGTGATTTTCTACATAGACAATCATGTCATAATATGAATGGAGACCATTTTCTTTCTTCTTCTCCAATTTGTAAGCCTTTGATTTTCTTTTGTTGTTTTATTGTGTTGCCTGGAATGTGCCCAGTATGATGCATCCAGTTGGTGTTGAATAGGAGTGGTGAGAGAGGACATCCCTTGCTTGATCTCAATGGGAAAGCATTCAGTTTTTTGCCATTAAGCATGATGTTTTTCCTTCTTTATTTTTTTCTGTTACCATTGTGATTTATGTTGATTGATTTTCAAATCAGTATTTCTGGGATAAACCCTTCTTGGTTGTGAGGTACTATTCTTTTTGCATAATGTTTGATTTGATTTGCTAATATTATATTAACTATTCTCACTGACCTCTCTCACAGGTTTTCCATCCAGTGGCATTTACGTCAGATAAATGAATGGCCACATTTCTTCTCTCCTTACAGGTATCTCCCTCTTCTTGTGTTTTGGACCAGTTGGTTGCCCTGAGACCTCATTTTCCAATGGGTTTGAAAAAAAGTCATGAATTTGTAGTTTGTCTGGCTTTTTTTTTTTGGTAGTTGCTGTTGTAAGTGTGAAAATTATGTTCTATGCAGCTTTTTATCCCTGAGTGGAAACTAGAGACTCCACAAGTGTTTTCTCACAATTGTTTGAGTCAGAATCCAAATCAGATTTGTGTATGTCCCTTAAGTCTCTTTTGGTGTATATTTTCTTCCTCTTTTTCTGTCTTTTTGTTTTTACTTGCTATTTTTTTCTGTTATTGTTGTCAAAGATACTGGGTTGTCTATCTTATAATGTTTCCCACAGCCTGAATTTTACTGATTGCATCCCTGTGGTATGGCTTAATATGGTCCTCTGTCTACTGTTTTTCCTGTTAATTTTGAGGCTTCATTAGAATCAGGTTTATTTTTCCTTGAAAATCCATAATCTGGATATTGTGTGTGTGTGTGTGTGTGTGTGATTTATCAGCTACTGATGTTTAGTGCCTGCATTTATTAATTCACTAAGGCTTTTTATTTTTTTAAAAGATTTTATTTATTTATTTGTTGGAGAGAGAGAGAGATTGAGCACACACATGCATAAGCAGGGGGAGTGGCAGACGGAGAGAGGGAGAAGCAGGCTCTCCACTGAGCAAAGAGCCCAATGGGGGACTTCATCCCAGGACCCTGGGATCATAACCTGAGCCAAAGGCAGACACTTAACTGACTGAGCCACCCAGACATCCCTCATTAGGACTTTTTTTTTTTTTTTAAGATTTTATTTATTTATTTGACAGAGTGAGAGAAGGAACACAAGCGGGGGGGGGTGGGGGTGGGAGAGGGAGAAGCAGGCTTCCCACTGAGCAGGGAGGACCCTGGGATCATGACCCGAGCCAAAGACAGACGCTTAAAGACTGAGCCACCCAGGTGCCCCTAAAAAGCCTTTTTTTTAACTGTAATGAAAATTACAGTAAAAAATCTGTAATGAAAATTCTGTAATGAAGATAAAGAAAATGAGGCTCAGAGAGGTTAAGTGACTTTACTAGGTCAATATAGCCAGTTAGTAAAAGTTGTAGCCAAGCTTGGAACCTGTGTTTTAGGAATGCAAGCCCTTTTTGCTTTCTATAAGCATATTGCCTTTCTAAACATTGCATTATTAAGCAATAGGAAGATCAATTTTCCATCCCTAGGTACATGAGACATATTCATCTCTTTTAGGAAGATTGAATTCTGTTTTGCTTAGAGGCATAGGACCATACCAAATGATTATTCAAAGAAATTTTTCCCTCAAGTTCTGGGTTATGTTCCTTTTTATGGATACAATTAATTTTTTTTTTCATGCTAATTCTAGTGTCTAGAATGGTGTCTAAACTCAACTCTGAATCCTGAGCACATTTGGGCTTTTGCTTGCTCCTCCAGTGCTATGGAATAAAAGACAACAAAACAAACAGATGTAGATTAAGTACTACAAAGCAATTTGTCTTTTATACTGCATTCAAGACTTGCTAATAAAATTTCTCTTCAGCTTGGAAAGAGAGAGAGATAGAGGAAGGAGAGAGAGGAGGGATAATGTTGTGATTGGTTTTTATCTACCACCTAAATTTTTCATGAGTTTGTATCTAAGGTGATATAGCATCTCTCTTGGGGGGCAAGCAATTCCATGAATTATTGGTTAGAGTTTTGTAGAGACAACTGAAGAAACAGACATTTTTACCTCTATTAAAAATAGATTTATCATGTTCAAATCAACCAAGGACAGACATCTTTCTGGACCCAAGCATTCACTTTTCAACACAAGTGAATGTACTCATGTAACCATCCTATATCATCTGATGCATGACTGTGATGTTCCTGAGCTTATTTTCCAAAAGAGGACAGAGCTTCCCACTCTGCAAGTATTTCCTGAAATCTCTATAATTTATTAAATCTGTAATAATAAGGATTATTATTGAAGCAACTTTCAATCTATTTCAAATCCAATTTTTTTAAAAAAAGATTTTATTTATTTGAGAGAGTGAGTGAGAGAGAGAGTGTGAGAGGGGAGAGGGTCAGAGGGAGAATCAGACTCAGGGAGCCTGATATGGAACTCGATCCTGGGACTCCAGGATCATGACCTGAGCCGAAGGCAGTTGCTCAACCAACTGAGCCACCCAGGTGCCCCGCAAATCCAATTTTTGAATTAAGGAAGGATGAATTTGGCTTTATCTTTTAACCACAGGGTTCTGAGAACCCCCAAGCACAGGAAAGGCTCTGCCCCCTCTGCTTTTCCCACCTAGACTCAGAAACTCTTAAGTGCGAATGGACATTTTGGCCTGCGTTGGGGCAAATGGAGGTATTGGGATCATACTGGACATAGGAGAAAATGGAGCAGAAACCCAAAGAACCTACCTAACTTTGGAAACTGTCAAGAGTCGAGTACAAGGACCAGAGTGAACAGATGTAAAAGCAGGAATTAAATTTAGATCCCTAGAACTTTTAGAATATTTAGGTAATATGGAGTTGTAGTGATTGTCTGGTCCAACCCATTTTGGTGAGATGACTTACCCAAAGTCACAAAATTGCCACTGGCCAAAGAGATGTTGAAATTCTGTCCTCTTGAGCTGTCCCTTGAACTTCTCTCTTCCCCCAGCAACTGAAATTCAGAAAACCTGG